CACAGGATCTAGATGCCTTGCTTTTAAAAAAACATATTTTTTGTTTTTACTCTATGTTGAAAGATCAACATTTTCCCCAATTTCATTTATGATTAGTTATTTACATTAGGGACATATTGTTGGCCCACTTCACCTCCCAATGGTTCAGTACTTATTTTCCAGAGTTTTCACAAAATAATGTTACCAAGCACAGTGAACTTACTGGCCTAATTCAAAGATTGTGCTAAGAACTGAAAATGAGGAATCTAGAGGACACAGGCCAGTATTAATAACTGAACAGACGTTATTCATAAAAGGCAGGAGAACAAGCAAATATTTATTTATTTATTTATTTATTTATTTATTTATTTATTTATTTATTATCAAATTTATATACCGCCCTAAGTCCTGAAGGACTCAGGGCGGTGTACAGCCAAAGTAAAAAAACATAAATACAAACATTAAAATACAGTTAAAAAGATATATATATACGTTCGGCCCCATAATTAAAAGAACAATAACAAACCTATTAAAAACATTTTAAAAAGTGTTAAGCCAGCCCGTCATATTAACATGACTTAATATTAAATTAAGTCATGTTAGAAAGTTAACTTGATGACTATTTATTTGTTCCTTTCCCTTCTTTTGGAATATATACACAGACATGTACAGATTTCTAAATTGATTCCTAACCTAAGAAGTTTCCTTACCACTCTTAACAGATCTGAAGGGTATCTCCTATCTATCTATCTATCTATCTATCTATCTATCTATCTATCTATCTATCTATCTATCTATTTATCTATCTATCTGTTTGTATTTTTCATCAAGTATGTATTTTATGACAGATACAAGTGTAAACATAATTATAAATACATGAAATGGATACGAATAAAAGAAAACATTAGGACAGGGACGGTAGGCATGCTGGTGCGCTTATGCGCACCTTCAATCTGGATATACCTCAAATCAACAATTTACACAAACATTGTACCAAATTACAAAAGACACTAAAAAGAGTCAGGACACAATGTTTCTGTGTGATATCATTGTGGCCTCTGACAGACCAACCTATGCCAGGCAGGTAACTCATTAGTAACAGGAATTTCTTAACAATGAGAGTAAAGAAATAGGCCTTTCATTATGAAGCTTGGTGAATTAATATTTCTCTGTGCTGATGGATCAGCCAGAAATTTTAGTTCTTCACATGCTGTAGTTGCTACTTTTTCACAAAAACAGCTACAGAATGAAAGATACATAAAATGATGGCATGTCCAAATTTACAAACACTAGTATGAAATACAAATTATACAGTATTGTCATAAGAAAATAAGATTAAAAATCAGCTCTAATTATATATCATTATATTTCATTCATTGTCCATATATCACAAAATATCCCAACTGAGTGTAAGCTTTAAAATACTCCATAGTCTCCTGGCCTCCAAAGAATAGATTGGTACAAATGTGCATCATTTCGCAGGGCTGCCTGTTTCCAACTCTTGGAGATGTATTCCTGCATAATTACATTTGAAAAAAAGTCTTAAATTATTGCTTAAGTTTGCAATCCTGTATCAACTTTCCTGTCAGCAAGTATTCAGTAATACTCTTTTTATCAGTTGTGTTTGGGAGCATAGAAATATTAGAGAAAGGATATGGATTTTGAGTTTTTGTTGCAGCAAGCTTTGATTTTGTTCTTATTAGACTTGGTGGAAAATTCCAGCCTTTTGGCCTTCAGCCTAAATTGGTTATAGCAAAAATGGATGGGGTAACTGGAAATCTGACTCTTCCCCCTTTAAAATATAAATATAGTATATAATATAAACTTAAACTATCAAGTTATTCCTATAAATATTTGGCCTCTGTTTTATTACATGTCATAGTGTGCAGACAGGATTAACCAACGTTGTTATGGAGACCAGTGTTTTAACTAATACAGTTTCTAGGTGACAGTCGTTGTCTTTTTTTTTTTTTTTTTAATTTGATTTATATGCCGCCCTTCTCCGGAGACTCAGGGCGGCTTACAATGCGTTAAGCAATAGCCTTCATACTTTTGTATATTTATACGAAGTCAGCTTATTGCCCCCACAAACTGGGTCCTCAATTTACCTACCTTAGAAAGGATGGAAGGCTGAGTCAACCTTGAGCCTTGGAGAGATTCGAACTTACAGTAATTGCAGACAACTGGTGTTAATCACAATGCTATCAGTCTGCTGAGCCACCAGGCCCTTTTTTAACTTTTCAAGTACCTTGTCTTTGCTGTTCGGGTTTGTGTGCTGTTGTATGTTGCATGTGGGTGTTGTTTGTATTGACCTGACTAGTTTAGTAATCTTTCATTTTTACTCACTACATTATTTTAAAAAAGCAAAGGTATAAATTGAAGAAAGCTAAGCAGGGTTGCTTATGATTAGGGCGTGGATCAAGAGGCAAATATTAGAGCTATAGACTACAATGGGAAGTCAAAAATATATTCCAGAAGGCAATGGCAAATCATTTCCGTACTATATTAAGAAAATTGTGCAGATGTGTCCATGAAATCACCATAAGTGGAACATGTTTTGAAGAGTATCTATGGAGATTCTTAATCATCCATGTCATGGTTGTCCCAAATGTGCTTTTCCCAAAGGCAACTGAAATTTCTTGGGTTTTTTTCCTCCTTGAAAGTTCTGAAGAAGCTTTTTGGATGAGAAGCAAAATGTTTTCAAGGAAAAAAAATAAATAACCAAGGAATTCCAGTTGTTTTGAAGAAGACTATTTTTAAATCAGATGTCCTCCAGCTTTTGAGATCTAGAAACTATTAGGCATAGTTTCAGATCATGTGAGAACTAGTGCATAGTGTTGAATGACATTCTCTATGCTGTCAGATATTGTAAAGGTAGTCTTCGACTTAAAACAGTTCATTTAGTGTCTGTTTGAAGTTACAACGGCACTAAAAATAGTGACTTACGATGATTTTTTCACACTTACGACTGTTGCAGCATCCCCATGGTCATGTGATTTAGATTTGGATGCTTGACAACTGATTCACATTTATGACGGTTGAAGTGTCCTGGGGTCATGTGATCACCTTTTGCGACCTTCTGACAAGCAAAGTCTATTAGTATCCGTGTTACTAATTTAACAGCTGCAGTGATTCACTTAACAAATGTGGCAAGATCATAAAATGAGGCAAAACTCGCTTAACAAATTTCTCACTTAGCAACATAAATTTTGGGCTCAATTGTGGTCGTAAATTGAAATACCTATATTTCAGTAGCTGATGCTGAGAACTTGTCAATTAAAAGCTTTAAAGATGTCCCTGTGTTTGCTGCCATTATCCTTTGACTTCTTCTGTTATTCCCATTTAAAACATTCTTGTGACAGAGTTGTATTTTGTTGCTTAGGTAGCATACATTTTGACTACGTTATCATAACTCTAAGTGGTTGCTAGAAGTTAATATTATTAATTATAACAGATCTGCTATTACAAATCAAGTCCTGTTGTGGTCCGTTGGCAGACTCAGACAATGAGGAGGTCAGGGAGGAACTTGGGCCAGTTCTGGAATCTGGGGAAGGCACTGATGGATGCTCTGCATTGGACTCAGAGATAGAGCCAGGGCCGCCTGACATTTCCCAGCCACCGGAGAGGCAGTTGCCTTTGGAGGCTGATATGAATGAGGAGGAAGAACAGCTGGGGCCTGTTCCAGATGCACATATGTGCAGAGCAGTTAGAAGAGGTGAGCAACAGAGGACAAGGAGTCAACTCGGGAAGCAAAGCACACGTGGATGCTGAATGGCCCCTCCCTGGCTGGGGAATAAATAGAAGGAAAGATGAGTGGTTGTCATAGGAGACAACAGTTGGTATTCCTGAAGATTTTGCTCATTGGGTTTAGTGCCACAAAGACTGCTTGCCAGAACTTAATTTGCAGCTTTTTGACTGGGAGCCTTGCAATTATCGAAAGGAACTGATAAGGTCTGTTACTGCAGTTAACTCCTTGAAGGACTATTGCCTAGACTTTTCAGTGCATTCAGTGTGTGAATGCAATTAATTCACAAGAGGTAAATAGAGAAAGGGGTTTTTTATGACAAGGAGTCTGTTTCTTGCTTCTGCTAAGGCTGGGTCAGAGCAAGTCCAAGAAGAAGAGGACTAATACTAATAGGCACTCTGGGTGCAATCCCAAAACATCTGGATGTCTAAACATCTGGCTAACTGCAACCAACCATAATAATGAATTTTTGGTTTTCAGTAGGGGGCACTGCCTTATTCAGACTTTGTGTGCAGTCTGGGGTGGGGGGGTTCCCTTGGACACACAGGCTGCTATTTGAAAAGCATGTGGCAGCTGTGGCCGGGGGGGGGGGGAGGTCTATGACAATTTGCCACGGCCAACTCACCATGACCAATTTTCCACAGCCAACTTGCCATGGTCAACTTGCTGTAGAACAACTCACCAAGGCCATCTCGCTGAGGGCCAACTCGCTGCGGGACAATATCAAAGAAATGATAGAATAGAATAATTAAAGACTGCAAAAGGAGGAACAGAATAAAATGTGAATAGCAAAATAGAATTGTTACATTGTCCCGCAGCGAGTTGGCCATGATGAGTTGGCTGCGACTAGTTGGCCATGGAGAGTTGGCCATGGTAAGTTGGCCAATAAGTTGGCTGTGGCAACTTGTCTCAATTAAAACCATTCCTGGGTTGGGAAGGCCTACTCATGGATACTCATGCCTTACTGTTGTCACTTCCCACTGGACTATTGCAAGGCATTCTAAACAAAGAAATAAATAGTTATTCTTGTTAAATTCTTCTTAAAATATACATTTAAAAGCCCTAATCCATATGCCAATAGGTTTGTGTCAGTAGTCAATCAGATTCTTGGGGGAAAAAAAATTAAACGCTGTTGGGTCTTGATTCTTCCTCGGGTTGATTTTTTTTTTTTTTTATCATCCCGTATCAACCATATCCCATTTCCCAGCCCTGCTCAAAGCAGGGTGCTCTGTTCCTTTAAGACGCTGCCGTGCCTGTGTTGTACTGTCTCTTTAAAAGGCTGTATCCTCTTGTCCCTAAGCTTTTGAGAAGGACTATGGCCATTTTTTCGGTCCTCGTCTTTCTTCGCTTCCTCTTAATCTGATTAATTCTAACCACCGTCGTACCGATTTAAAAATTAAAAGGACGGCAAGATGGCTGAGATGGGCAAGGGAGTCACGGCAGGGAAAATAGCCAGCAACATGCAGAAGAAACTCACCAGGGCCCAAGAGAAGGTAAGGAAAGGGCAGGCAGGAGAGGTGGGGAAAAATCCGGAAAAAAATAAAACAAAATAACGGGGAAGGCTCTCGGAGACTAATGTGTAAACCGAGCATTTGCGGGGGGCACTTCCTCACCTCCGAGGAAGCGAACCCCCCCCAAAAGGGGGGTGCTGCTGTTGCAATTGCCGTGATTATGTGGGATACGGGAGAGGGGGCAGAAGGCGGTTGCAACGTAATGCACCAATTCTCCAGCACCTTATGCTTCCTTACGTTGACATTGACAGCTCGGCCACGTTGTCTATCTTGCCTTCGCCTTCCACCTCGTTACCGCCCCGCCGTCGGCTCTTTTTTTTTGGGGGGGGGGGTAGTATGTGTGTGTGTGTTGTACTCGCTTTGTGGTCCTGGTGCTCGGAAGAAGGAAAGATCCGCGGGTGGAAAGACACCCCCTCCCCACCGCCCGCACTCGTATTCTCAAAGACCCACCGAGGTTGTGTGGGGGGAGACGGGGGGTGCACGGATGACTTTGAGACTGGGGATGGTTGGGGAGATTTCGGATTTGTTTCCAAATCAGTCCCGGAGCGATTGCAACTAAAAGCGCCAGATGGGAAGGGCCGGAAGCTGGTAGTCGTTTTTAACACATCTGGAAAGCACCGGGTTGGGGAACCTGAGCTGGATTTTTAGCTCGTTGCGATCGGAGTATTGGTCTTTTTTTTCCCCCCCCCCCCCCCTTTATCAAATTCTCGGCCGAGGGGCGGAGCAGCGAAGGTTATTATAGGCGCTCGCTTTTCTGCACGCTGCTGTTATGGGTCGAAAGATAATCCCCATCATCCGATTTCTCTCTCTCTCTTTTTTTTTGTAGCCCTGTTTTATCGCTCCGGGGGCGTCGGCAGCGGGGAGGGGGGGGCGGAGGTTCCAGCCTGCCCCCCCGCTTCACCTTCGCTGGCAAAGCAGCGCTCGGAGTGAGGCAAAAAAATTAGGGAGGCAAAAAAAACCCCAACACAAAAAACCCCTCGCGCGCTGCCGGACTGACGCAGGACGGCGGCTATTTCTGGTCGCTCCGGTCGAAGCCAGAGAATGAACGCGGCTTGGGGTGGAGGAGAGCGAGCCCTCTCCTCTGCCTCGTTTTTGGTTTTTTAAACCTTAAAACTAGTTCGGTGGCCAAACCTCGTCTTGTGATTAATGAACGGAGGTGTGTGTGTGTGTGGGGGGGGGGAAGAGTGCTTTTTTGTGACTGGCTGGCCTCCGAGAGCTTACATATGGGGGGGGGGGGCTGACTTGCAAAAGATCACCGATCTTTTCAGGGTTAAAAGAAGAAAAACACACACACACACACACGGATCGGCCGCGGCTCAAATTACGTCAGATGAAACGCGGGCGAGATTTCCCCTTTCCCACCTTCCTTTGGCAGAAGCGAGCTTGTCAGTCTCTTCAAACGCCTCCCCACCCCTACCTCTGCCTTTCCTTCCCTCTCCTTTAAGGTACAAGAGGCTTCGGCTGCAAATTCTCCCTCCGGAATTTCTCCTGGAAGTGACTCTTTTGGAGCGGCTTCTGCCTTTGGGACCGACTGCCGCCCCCCCCCACCCCCCCGGGGGCTCCCTCTGCAGCCTAAACTAAACCGAATCGGGGTTTCTCACCACCCCCTTCCTGGCTTGGGGGAAAGGCTCCGTTCCCCTTAGTTAAGAAGTCCCAAAGGTGTTTTTTTTTCCCAGGAGGCACTTTCTTGGTTTTTTTTTTCTTCCTTTGAAGACCTTTCGCTTCCCATCCGGGAAGCTTCTTCACTTCTGACAGGACTGAGAGGAATGGAAGGATTTAATATACCTTGCAGACAGCTGGTCATGAGAAGCGAAACGTCTTCAAAAGGGGAGGGGGGGAACCCAAGAAAGTCCAGTTGCCTCCTGAAAAAAAAGCACCTTTGGGACAACCATGACCTGGATGGCTGAGAATCTCCACAGACTTAGGTGTGAAGGCTTTGGCGGTCTGAAGGGGAGAGCAAAGCGTTCGCGCTTTGGCTTTGCCCGTAAAGCCGGCTCTTCTCTTCATTTCCCTCCGCCCTTTTTTTTTTTACTTTCCCCTTTTGACTTGAGGTGCGAGGTCAGACCGCAAGAACGGGCTTATTGGGATAAAGCGGTTTAGAGCTTACATTGGCCCAAGCGGCCGGGGGGGGGGGCGAGGGAAGGTGGCCGTGGGAGCCACACCGGACTCGCTCATCTTCTGGCCGTCAAGAGGCTGCTCGCCCAGGTGTGTGTGTGTGTGGGGGGGGGAGACGGCAGAAGTGCTATATAGACTGCCGGCTGCTTGCAATATGACAGATCGAATCTCACCTGGTTGACTCAACCTTCCATCCTTCCGAGGTGGGTAAAAATGAGGACCCAGATTGTTGGGGGCAATATGCTGACTCTGTAAACCGCTTAGAGAGGGCTGTAAAACACTGTCAAACAGTATATAAGTCTAAGTGCTATTGCTATACCGTTGGGAAGAGGCTGAGAAACCGTGAGCTGCCGCCTCCGCCCTCTGTTTTGATCTGGATTGCTTGTTATCTTTGGTTTGAGTGGCAAGCTGCTTTTCCTTTTCTGCTCCTTCAGAGCTGGCCTGAGGCAGATTTGGAAACTTCACCTGCCAAAACCCCTACCCCAAATCTCCCAGCAGCAGCAACAAGCTCTTAAAACTGCCTTTCTTACACACCCTAGATTGTGTGTCCTCCCCCCACCCCCGAAAATCATTTATACCTTACCTTTCAATAAGGACAGAGTACAGGTAGTCCTCGACTTACAACAGTTTGTTTAGTTACTGTTCAAAGTTACAGCGGCACTGAAAAAAGTGACTTATAGCCAGTTTTCACACTTACGACTGTTGCCGCATCCCCATGGTCACGTGATCAAAATTCAGTATTTATTTATTTATTTATTGGTTCAATTTATATGCTGCCCTTACTCAGGGCAGCTTACAATGTGTTAAGCAATAGCCTTCATACTTTTGTATATACCTGCTTAGCAGGGCTTTCGCCCCCCCAAGTGGTGTTCTTTTTTATACAAACTCAGCTTATTGCCCCCACAAACCGGGTCCTCATTTTACTTACCTCAAAAGGATGGAAGGCTGAGTCAACCTTCAGCCTGGTGAGAGTTGAACTTGCAGTAATTGCAGGCAGCTGGTGCTATTTAACAGCACTTTAGTCTGCTGCACCACCAAGGCTCTTTTATGACCATTGTGTTGTCCTGGGTTCAGTTTGTGACCTGACAAAGTCAATGGGAAAGCCAGATTCACTTAACAATTGGGTTACTAATTTAACAACTGCAGTGACTCACTTAACAACTGTGGCAAGAAAGATTGTAAAATGGAGCAAAACTCACTTAACAACTGTTTCGCTTAGCAACAGAAATTTGGGGCTCAGTTGTGGTTGTAAGTTGAGATCTACCTATATTTCATCACTGGAAACCTCTCAGACCATTAGGATTAATAAATGGGAGGATTGAATTTAATTCACTACCCTGTGTCTCTTCTCTGTATGGTACCAGCTGCTGTTGTATAAGCCTAGGTTTGTGAGATCCAGGTTCAAATGTACCACTATCTGCATGGTTCATTGGATGATTTGGGGCAATTTCACTTTTGGACCTCCCCAACTGCTGTGGTGAAGTGATAAACACTAAGCACTAATCCTGGAGTTGTCTTACCCTGTTTTTGTTCCCAGACACTTGACTGTCCTGGCAAAGCCTAACAGACACCATGCAGCTGTCCCTGGAGGGTGATAGTAAAAAGAGGATGTTTTCCTTTTATTTTGGGTGCCCTATCACACTTTCTCCGTCCCTCAGGCACTAGTCCTCTGTTCAGTGTGTGACCTTGCAAACCTTCTTGAGGCCTGCTGAGGATGGCCGGTATTTCCTTCCTGGAGTTTTTCTTGTATGGAAAACCTTGGTTTGGGAAGGAGATAATGGAGAATTTCTTAATTTTACTGTGCAATTGTCCAGATGGCCAGGAACTGTTTCCACTCTGGAGAAAGACCTTTGCCAAATTCCTATTCATGATTTCATGCCTCACTTCCACCCTATGACAGCAATGGGAGCAGGACTTTAAACATGAAGACAAAATGTATGTTTGTAGGTGTCTGAGGAGTAGGGGAGTCATGGCACATGCATCATGACTTCATTGTGCAAATGACACAAATTACATATTGCAATGATACAGTGACATGCATGATATTATCATGGTTTGCATTGGACGCTTCTTTGTATATTTGGACGTTTGTGAAGGGGGTGATCTGTAACTGAATTGACTTCAAACAGCTGTCCTTGCAGACAGCTGGCAGTTTCAGGCTCTCCTGTTTGTCTTGCAAAGGAGTTTTGTGATTCCATCCTCAGTGAAGAGTCTGTAGTACAGTGGACTAAACACTGTTATTAACATCTGCTGCTTGCAATTACTGCAAGTTCAAATCTCACCAGGCTCAAGGTTGACTCAGCCTTCCATCCTTTCAAAGGTAGGTGAAATGAGGACCCAGATTGTGGGGGCAATAAGCTGACTTTGTATAAATATACAAAAGTATGAAGGCTATTGCTTAACGCATTGTAAGCCACCCTGAGTCTCCGGAGAAGGGCGGCATATAAATTAAAGCAAAAAAAAAAAAAAAAAAGCAGATGGGCTAGTCCAGTGAATGGGAAACTAAATATTAGAGGAAAGGTTATATTAACTTCTTCTTCTTGTCTTAAGATGATTAAGCTGAACCATGTTTCTAAATGAGACAGATTTATTTACAGGGGAAGCCTTTGCCTGTTGATGAGTTGCACTATACTGTCCAAAGTTATCTTACCCTTACAAAGTATGGCAACAACTCTATGACAGGTTTCAGGTGGTAGATAAATCACATAAACAAACTATACTGCTCCACTGCTGTTTTGCAGTAAATATTCCTTAATTTGTCTCTTCTACCATGAGAATAGAATTTCTCAGTTTAATTAATGGGTTAAAATATTACTGTCATTTAAACTTGAATCCAGTATAAGTCTCTTTGAAATGTTGCACCAAAT